GCGCGGAGCGGGGGTCTCTGCTCCAAGCTCCCTCCCCAGACGCGCGCGCCCCGGGTCAGCGGCCCTCGCGGCCCCGCGGACTCACGTCTCGGAAGCGGTTCCAGTGCTTGATCTTGCCGCTGTACTGCGAGATGGACGACAGCCATTGCTCGTCCTCCATGAAATTGCCGGGGGTCTCGCCCTCCTTGAGCCCTTTGGCGTCGCCTTCGGCCAGGGCGGCCGTGGCGAGGAGCAGCAGCGGCAGCGCCAGCCGCCCGCAGCCCGGGGTGCGCATCGTGGTCCGGGTTCGATCTGGGGGGTCTCGACTTCTGCAGTATTTGAACGTCCTTCCTCCCACCCCGCAGTTGGCGAGCAAACGCTGCCGTCTTCCTCAGCCCTCCTCCTGCGGTCTGACTCCAGTGACTGACGGATAGTGGGTCGCCGCTGAAATGTGACCTGGTTAGGAGATGCACTTGCCTGAAAAAGCCCAGCGCTGGACGCGGAGAGGGAGAGAAAATCAGAGAGGCTGCGCCAGCAGGGGCTGTGTCTGTAACTGTAGCATCAGCATCACGTTTGACATCATCATACCTGGTTTAAAAAAAAAAAAAAAAGGAGGGGGTAGATTTCAAAGCGAAGCGCTGGATCAGAGCGCCAAAAGCCAGCCAGCCGCAGCGGAGCCCAGCCCAGCCCAGCCCAGCACTCAGGGAGTTGCAGAGCAGGGAATCAGAATCCTGAGATGTCCCTGCTGTCTCTCCAAGGGGGGAGAGCAAGAAGAGCCCCGAGGTCTCCCCAGGGAAGATGGGATTGGGGAGAAGACCCAAAACTGAAGCTAGGAAGCCAGTCGGGTTCAGGTGTCTAAGAGGAAATTTGGTCAGTCTTTTTCTCCCGGTGCCTCCCACCCAGAGGGGTCTGCACCACAGCCTGACAGCCGGCTTCTCGAGAGTTATGGCCCTACCGTAATGGGTGGCTTCCTTAAGACAAAAGCCATGTAACAACTGGCTGCCTCGGAACTATTGCTCCCCAGCCTCACCGCTCTTTTCAAGGAAAGGCCTGAGCACCGAATGGCTGGTGAAGCTGAGGCAGATGTCCTCCTGCCCAAGCAGCTGTTTAGGGGCTGTCACCCCCTTTTGTTCTTTCTGGGACAACTCTAACATTAGGCAGACGTCTGACCATTTCATCTGCCATGAGGCTGCACATTTCAAAAAGGCACGTTTGCTCCCGGTTTTGACTTCAAGTTGATTTTAATGTCACTGCGAAAGAGGAAGAGGGAGGAGGCTGGGTTGGTTGGAGGCATTTCGGTTTTTGTTAAAACTGTGACCCTTGTTGGTCATTGCCTGTAGAATGTGTTGACATATCAGCTGGGAAGGCTAGAGGCTGGGCACAGTCCCAGGAGCACAGTAGAAACGGGTGAGGTTTACAAGTAAATTGAAGAGGAAACAGATAATCTGACAGGACAAAGCATATTGAACTTTTGGGACCCAAGCCCTGGATTGTGTTTTTATAAGAAAGGCTTGGCTGCTGTAATTTTGAAAAGGAAAAAAAAAATCAAAGGTAATAAAATGCAGACTCTTAATGGGTTGGAAAAAACATAGGTTACAAGGTTCATAGTCACCCTGAGTCTGACCTGCCTGGGAACTCAGTGTGACTTGGGCCGGGGTCCCCTTAGGAAACAAAACAATAGCTTCCCATTCCAAGTGTGCTGGTTTCCCTTGCATCTGGACTTAGAGGTGGTGCTGTGAGGCAGCCCTGGCCATTGACGTCATCTCGCAGTAAATAAAGTGGTTTCCTGGGTTGTATGGGGGTGCCCCATAACAGAAGAGCACCCTTTGTGGCCACGTAGGCTGGGGGCTGGAGTTCCATTTACTAGACAGGTTTCTGCAAGTTATCTACTTCCTGTGTATAAACTAATGATAAATCCACCTCTTTCATAAGATGCCTATGAAACTAGAGTGGAATTACATACTACGTGCACGGGTATAGTGGGTGTCCATTCTGGGGGCCAGCAGGTGGCATGGAGGTTAAGGTAGCTGGATCCCACATGGCTGATTGGATGGTTTGAGTCTCAAGACCCTGAAACTTGAAAATCATGCCAGTCCCACGTGTGTGCAGGCTCAAAATCCTCACAGGAGAATGCAGAAGGGACTGCAGTGTGGCCATCCCCCACTGAGGGGGTGATTTCTCACTTTCCCTGTCTCTGGTGAGCACACACTCCCTATAGCAAAAACTTAAAAAAAAAAAAAAGTCAGAGGAGGACTGGCTCTGCAGTACAGTGGTTAAGCATTATGCACAGGAAGCCAGATCCCACATGACCAACTGGGGTTCAAATCCAGGGCCCTATGGAGGGTACACACCAATGTGCCCAGGATCCTGAAGGGATGCAGAATTGGAGGAAGGACTGCAGTGTCACCAGGCCCCATTGGGGGCTTTCTCTGTCACTTGTACATGTGCTGTATCTTGAACAAAGGAGGGGGGGGGTAGGTGTCAGTTCTTCTCTCCGGTCTGGGAAAAGAAGGCTGAGATATCCCACAGTTCTGAAGATTTATCAAAATTTGCCATCTTTCCCCATCATTACTACCCTAGTCTTTTTGAATCTCTAAGGTACTAAGGAGATAGCTCTAAGTACCACAGCTATCCCGTTCCAATGCCCTTAGGAAGCTCCTGGTCTTGAGTGATCAAAGTTGCCCAACAGTTTGGAAAGCAATTGGCAAGAAGCCCATCAACTAAGACAATAGCTGCCTCCAGACCTCTGAAGGTCAGACGTTTCCCACACCCCTCCAAGGGGACTTGCCTTCTGGGGCACCCTCAAGCTGCAACAATATCAGACTCGGACTCAGTTTAGCCATAATAAAGCTATTTAGAAGGGAAAATTCAAAATTCCAGATAATGAGTATGAGCTGTAGAAAACAGCCAATAATTTCAGTTTTAAAGAAGAAAATGTTTTCCTAATTTTTGAGAAAATCACCGACAGCGCAACCTTGTCAAACAAACGGCCCCGAACATGAGGTGCTATAGGGTGTATCTGTTAAATGGTACAGATATTTTATGCATTTAACTATTATAGTAATGCCAAATGGAGAACCTTCGTTTCCTAGTAAGAAACCTAAATTTACATCTTGAAAGCCATTTCATCTCATTTCTGGATGACCCCATAAGCATAAAAAGGTAAACTCACAAAGATGTTCAATCCAAAAGTTGTTCAGAACTATCAAACCTAGAAACCAACTCCCAGTGTCCTTTAGTCAGAAACTAGTGACATTATACAACATACCAAACAAACCTGCAGTGGACTATTGTGCAGACATTAAAAAAAAACGATGTAGACAATCTGCATCTGTTGCCGATCAGTGCTACCCACAATGTACTGCTGGGTGAGAAAGGCTCACTACAGAGCATGTATCCCATGACTCCCCTTGAAGGATCGTACACAGTATGTAGTTCTCAAACTTTCTGGTCTTAGGACCCACTTATGCTAAAAAATTGAGGGCCCTCAAGAACTTTTGTTATGTCACACACACACACACACAAATGTACTGTAACTGAAAATAAAACTAAGACTTTAAAAAAATACTTAGGAGACCAGCAGATGGTGTAGTGATTATGTTGCCGGACTCCCACATGGTTGACTGTGGTTCAAGTCCTGGACCTGGAGGCTTGAAGCTCATGCCGGGTGCGTGGGTGTGCATTCATGCCCAGAATCCCAAAGAACGGAGAAGGAATTGTGGCATGGGCATCTCCTGGGGGACTGATTACTCACTTTTTCTCTGGCGAGCACACATGCCCTATAGCAAAAACTCTCTCTAAAAATATACATACATATATTAGGTAGGTATATGTATATATATTTAGTAGGGGCCAGCGGGTGGTGTAGTGGTTAAGGTGCTGGACATGACTGATCGCAGTTCGAGTCCTGTACCTGGTTGCTTGGAACTCACACTGAGCGTGTGTGTGTGTGTGTGCATGCCCAAAATCCCAGGGGAAGTATGAAATGTGGTGTGGCCATCCCTCCTCGGGAGGGTTCTCTCTTTCCCCCTCACTGTCTCTCTCCATCTCTCTGGTAAACACACACGTCTTATGGCAAAAAATCTTTTCTGAAAAAAAAAATTTTCTTTTTAGATTTTGTTTCACTTTATTTATTTGACCAGAGAGACAGAGAGAGAAGAGAGAGTGAGAAAACAAGCTGCCAAGTCCAGGACGCGAACTGCAGTTGGCCATGTGGGCGTCCAGCGCCTATAAACCACCATGCCACCTGCCAGCCCCAAATTTAATTATTTCAAAATAAAAATGTATCGAACAATTATACCCATAATGTATTAAAATAATATATTTAATGAAAAACAACTGTATTGGGCTAGCAGGTAGCATGGTGGTTTAGATATTGGACCCCCATGTCTGACCATGGTTCAAGTCCCAGACCCAGTAACTTGAAAATCACATCGGGTATGTGTGCATGTATGCACAAAAAACCCAAAAGGAGACTGGAAGAGAAGAGCCTGTGGCGTGGCCATGGTCCCCAGGAGGTGGTTTCTCACTTTCCCTCTGTCTGTCTTCAGTGAACACATGTACTCTATGGCAAAAATCTAAAAAAAAAGAGACCCAACTGCTTTTCCCCCAGAAAGTAAGAGTGACACTTTCATATTTTTACAATTCTAACATCTGCCTCAGAAAAAAGCAGATAGATTCGCCTATCAGCCTCAACATTATAGCAAGTGTATCAGTCACTAGGGCTGCCCTCACAAAGTACTACAGCTTACACAACAGATAGTTCTAGAGGCTACAAGCTCAAGGTCAAGGTGTGGGCAGGACCAGTTTCTGCACAGGGCTCTGCGTGACATGCAGATGACCACCTTCTCGCTGTGTCTCAATGGTCTTTTCTCTGTAGACAGACTAATCTGGTTTTCTTTTTTGAGTCCAAATTTCCTCTTCTTTAAGGATACCAGTCAAATTAGATTGGGGCCCACCCTAATATCCTCATTGTATCTTAACCACCTCTTTAAAATTCCTATCTCCAACTTTTATTGATTTGACTCCACACTGGTTTCTTTTGCTGCAGGAGAAAGCATAGTACTAGAGCAAACTTGAAGCAAGTTTGTGTCATTAGGATGCTGGGTTCAACTAAATGTCCAGTTTAGGCATTTATAGAGTGTCTACCATGGGTGTGGACCCCACTTGGGGGAACTCGTTATGCCTTTCCTTCTCTCTCCAAAAAAGCAGAATTATTTTCCAGAACAAATTTCCTTGTATAACAGCACAGATTTTCTGAAACTGGTGAGAGATTCCCCCCCCCCTTTCTTCTTAGGAATTGAGGGTGAAGTCAGTGTCTCCAAAGCTGGTTGGGGCAATGTTAGATCAAACAACTATTTCAGCAGAGAATGAATGACAGAGTAGTAATATTCGTGAGAGAATAATTTTTTTTTTTTAATTGCCAGAGGATGCATGCACTTGCTAGGGAGAGCACTCCCCAGGGGCATGGTCATGCTGTAATCCTATTCCTCCACTCTTCTTCCCAGTTAGGATTTTGGGCACATATGCATGCGTGTCTGGCATGTTTCTCAAGCTACCGGGGCCAAGATTCATTCCACAGTATGCTATGTGGGATCTGGCTCCCTTAACTATTTTTTTTTTTTTTATAGATTTTTGCTATAGGGTGTTTGTGCTCGCTGGAGACAGAGAGAAAGAGAAAAATCCCCCCCAGGGGGGCCAGCCACACCTCGATCCCTTCTCCTCCATTCTCTGCTTGGGATCTTGGGCACACACGCACATACACCCAGCATGAGTTTAAGCCGCCAGGTCCAGGACTCTAACTGTGGTAGACTATGTAGGAGTCCAGAAATATAACCATTACACCATCTATCTGCTGGTCCCCCACTGTTGCTTCTTAATAAAAGTCAAAACTACCCTTTTGGGGACCAGCAGGTGGCGTGGTAGTTAAGATGCTGGACACTCTGACATGGCTGACCGTGGTTTGAGTCCCGGACCTGGTGGCTTCCCTTTTTCCCTTTTCTGCTTCTCTCTGGTAAAATTAAAATAAATGAATGAATAAATAAATAAATAAAATTAAACAAACAATTATTTTTTTAAAAAAACTACCCTTCTACAGTAACAATTAAAACTGTATTTCCTTGGGACCAGCAGGTGGTGTGGTGGTTAAGGTGCTGGACACTCCCACATGGCCGATTACAGTTCAAGTCCCAGACCTGGTGGCTTGCTTTCTCACTTTCTCTCTCTCTCTCTCTGTCTCTTTCTGGTCAAATTAAAATAAATAAGTAAATAAAAATTGAAAAAAAAATTCTTTCAAAAAAAAAAAAAAACTGTATTTCCTTTAGAGCTACAATGGCCCCAAAAATTATCCACAAATTTTAAAAAGAACATTTAAAAGATTAATTTTTTAAAATTTTCAGGCCAGGGGGCCAGCAGATGGTATAGTGTTTGAGGTACTGCACTTCAGTTCAAATCCCAGACTGGGTGGCTTGTTTTCTCTCTCTCTGGTGAGCACATATGCCCTGTAGCAAATTTTAAAAAATGATAACGGTAATAAATAAAATTAAATAATTTTTTTTTTTTTTTTTTCCAGACTAGCTGGTGGCTTGGGGGT